ATATGCGTAAGTTGCCTGGTACATCCACACTAGCATGACGTAATTGCCAATGGTTGATCACTATGTAAATGTACACTGTACACACAAAAGTAAAATAGCAATGCATCCAACTTAAAATATATTAGCATCAGTTCAATATATTTATTATATTATAGATTTCTATAGAAAATAATAAATTGTAGAGGAAAATTACATTATTTTCCTCTACAATTTATTATGTAATATTAATAGTAATACAATGTAACCTTGAAAAAAAGAAATCCTAAAAATGAAAAATGTAATGAATACTACTAAATAGTAAATACTACTTTAATATTTAATTTTACTACTAAATTATTACACTATTCGTTTGTATTAATCATTTACTTAATATAATTTTTAAATATAAATATAATTTATTATAAAATCAATTTTAATAATATTTAGATAACTATACAATCACTTGGATAATTAGTTTTTGAATATTTATAACCTAATATACATTATAAGAGACATCTTATTTTACATCAGCTATATTTAAACGAGTCTAGAGTTATAGTTTACAGTTAACGGAAGTATAATATAATAACTGCTATTTAAATACATTAAGTATATTTTCTATAATTATATTTATATCCGTTTATATATCAGTATAAAAAAATATGAATGAGAGAGTTGGTAAAGAAAATATACTATATAACTACTACATTTGACCCGCATACTATTGTTTTAATCTTAAACAACAAAAGATAACCTATACAGATCATGATTTATTGAAACTCTTTTAAATCTACTTTTTAACCACATGTATTGAATACAACTAATAAATTAACAGTAATTGGATCAACTGTAAAACAATTAAACGTACAAATTGTTATTAATCAATAAATTAGGTAGTTAAGTCATACAAGAGGAATTTCATCAAATGTTTAGTTGCCTCTCAATATTAATAAACGGATTTATACCTGTCCATTAAAATTATAAACATCGATAAATTAGATCAAAATTAAAAATATTAGATAAACATAATACATATCCATATATAATACACGAATACGTAATCTTTACTATACACATAATGTAAAAACCAAATTTAAAATGTTTAAAAATATATTCTTTTGATAGGTACGTTTCATTATCAAAAACTTGTAATCATTTGTAATATTTTTACATCTTTCTGGATAACCGACACTTAAGAGTTATGAGGTATGATGTCATATTAAAGTAAATACTATAATACCTATATAATACCTACTCATTATTCATCAAGATAATGAAATATCGTATCAATTTATATAATCAATAAATCAACAGGTAATTGTTTTTAAATATTTGATTTAACTACTATAACACAGATTAAATGCAACTTTAATGTATGTACAACATAATTTAAATGTATGTAATTGTTTTAAATAAAAAAATTAACAACTCGTAACATAATTAGTAAAATAAAAATACTGAATTGCGATTTAAATTTAAATGTTTGATAAGATAGAACTCAATAGCGACGACCTTGTTCATTATGAGAATGAGAGGTGCACTACAGGTGAAACGCAAACACAAAAATGCCGCTCGTTATTAACGTTATGCGATACATGCAATGATAACAAATAATTTGACCTCAAAAAAAAAAAAATAATCCATTTGGTACGTTATACACGTTTTTCATTCAGAGAGTACAAATGCACAATAGTATAAAAATATTAGAAAATACTTTTAAAAAGGTTTTAAAGTAACAGCATGGTAATAGCTGGATAAAAACATGTTTACTTTTTCTTCAAGAATCAAAAACAATTATGATATTACAAAAGTAAAATATTTATCTATTCTCATCTGTTTTTTAAAATCGTAAATTTTTATTATCATTAATCAATAATCAATATACAATAATATTATTCATTATCTATTATTCAATATATAATATTGATATTAATTATGGCTCAAATATAACCATGATATTATGGTTAATAATATACAATGGTTTTTCATAATATTATCGTTATTTTTAACACAATATGTATCACACTATACAAAGCACAAACTTTAAAACTTTAGTATAATATAGTTATTTTATTTGTGTTATAGGTATACTATAATAATGGATTTCATTCAAACTTTACTATATTATTTTTACTTATTTAACTCTCGCAATAAAAACAATAATTATTCAGTAAAAACATTGTAACCATACTATAATATTATGCAGTTTATAAGTAATATTATTTCTTTGTATTAGGTACCTGTATACACTTTTATCTTTATTAACAATACAACAACAGCAGTCGAGTAATCGATATTTTATAGCCAGTTATTAATAAATGCAATAGAATACATATTGATGAATGTAATATGCAATATTGTTGCTTTTAAATGTTGTTAAAACATAATACCTTAAGTTGGAGGATTTCAATTAATCAATTAAATACAATTTAATTATAACTTATAATAGGTACCTATATAATATATTATATTATTGTTTAAATATATGAAAACTTTCTCTGTAATATAAGTATAAAAAAAACATTGCTCCGTAACAAATTATTTTTATTCGACATTATATTGTCCTTGACACAAACTAGACACACATCATATATACAAGCTAATTATTTACAAAAAAAATTATATAGACGTGAAAATTAAGTATGAGATAAATTTAAAAAAATGTCCTTCAGGCACAAAGAAAATCTTAAAATACACAACTAAAAATCATATAAACAAATATTTTCCAATCATTATTATATTATTCAAAGATTAAAATATTTCAATCAAAACAAATAATACGATTTAGGTGGGTAGATTTCTAGAATTTGTATTATTATTTTTTATTTGGTTTCAATCGCGAGTGGTTTCAATTATTTGGTTTCAATCAGTTTTGTATAAAATATTTTAAATATCGACATATCACATTCTTGATAGTACCTACCTCAAAATGTACATAAATAAATAGTACCTACATAATATTATACATTTATATAATAGGTAGAATGTAGATAATATACTTATGCATGATTGTAGAAAACTGCAGTTACAAATCGACCAAATTCGTGTTATAAAAACTATTATTTATTGAATTTTGGTAAACTATTTTCACACAACAAGGGACATTGACTAGATAACATTACTCGGCACCTCCCTAAAAGGAATGAAGAAACGCTACCTATACAAACAACTTTCACACCGGAAATCCGAATATTAGGTATGGTTAATATTCAATAAGATACTCAATAAGGTGGGAAAAACACCAAGGGTTCATTTTTGAAACCAAACACGTGCATACTGTAAATTAATACTGAACAATACGTACAACACATATTATCTGATAATATTCAAGAATAATGAAAACATGATAATTCTGGAATGCACTAGAAGTAGCTGTGACTATTCAACTCCAAAGATTTGTAATTTTTTATTATTATTCTTTTCAAATCGTATCTTAGAAGTAGAAAAAATATTGAAATAGCCAAAAATATTTTTACTTTTACAATGTTTTCAAAGTGATGTACTGCAGAAAGGGTTAAGGAAGATGTTGATGTTATACAAAAGTGAAATCAATAATACTTTTTATTTATAGCACATCATTACATAAAATGCATGTACCTGGTATATACATGTACCTTAAACCCATAGTATAGGTAATATACTAATATATATATTTAGTCAGTGCATGTAGAATCGAAAGCTAATAACCTAACTCACTCGTTTAATTAAATTTTTTATTTATAATTTTACTTAACTCAAGTTTAATAATTATAATTATTTAAAAAAAAAAAACCATTAAATAGTATGCCATTTTAGCGTTGTAATTAATAACAATTGTGAACGATGAAGAAGCCATGTGTTTTTGTGTAATTTAAAACACGTCTTTATTCCACTGTTAAAAACGTATTCAATAATAAAATATCATACTAAATGGAAAATTATAAAATTATACATTAAGAATTATAAGTACACATTTTACTACGTATTAGTACCTATATTACTACATAAGAAACAAGACTTCTAATTTATGACTAGGTACAACATGTGTACAAATTACTATATTCGAATTTTTTAATCCATTTGGAAATAAAATATATTCAAAATATGGGTGTAAATATTATATCAGCTCTTTCTGAAACGATTGCATCGTAGGAGACCGTTTAAAGTTTTAAATACTCGGATGAATATCAATGGCTTTATTGTTTGAAAATCATCTGTTCAAAATTAGGTATCAACCGACACCACACGCATTAGAGATTTATGTCATCATTTATTGTACATAGACATAGTATATCTATATTATAGATATAGTAGGTATATTATAAGAAGGTTATTGTTCGCGGTTTAGAGCATGTGCAATTCGTTAACATTTTACTATAGAATTATTTTCCGATTGAATATCGACAGGACACAATAAGACTATCACTACTACGAGGTTCGTTCACCTTGTGAGCTCGGATATTGGGTTTAGTAATGGCCAAACACTCAAATGCTCATTAATTTGGTTAAAATGTATTTCTCTTAGACTAAATCGTAAGTACGTATAAAAATTATACCAATAATCAACTGTGTTCTTGAAATGTAATAACATTACAACATAAGTTTACAAATAAATCATTTATTCAACTTTTTAATAAAGAAAAATATATAGACAGGTTAATAGGTACTATTAATTATATTATATTCCCTTAGAGGGAACATAATATTACGTCCCTATTAATAAAACCAATTAAAAATTAACTATACCGACCAGACGTATTACTTTTAAATTTGTTTACGAATTTACAGTTGTTTTAATATAAATACAACAATTATTGATCTAAAACGTGAAACCAAAGTAATTTTTCATTGTGAAATGGATAAAAAAAACCATTCACGAGCTTATAATAAATATCATTTCGTCACAAGACGATTTTATTAAATAAAATTAAAAATACTAACTAATATAGCCTATGAGTTGCTACCCCGTTCAATAATACACAATATACAATGTTAGTGGATCGTTCAGATAAAAAAAAATCATTGGAAAATATTTCTGTTACCTCTTTTTGTCACGGATTTTTTCTTGTCCTCCGCAGCATTTTTCTTGTCCTCCACTGCAATTTTCTTCTTGTCAGATTGTTGCTGTTTGCTTTCCACGGCCTTCTGTTGTTGGACAGCTACCGGCGCTGTTTTTTTTACGTCCAATGCGGACTCTTTCTTTTGCAACGGTGGTTTTTTGTCGTTTACGGCGTGTTGATGTTCGACGACAACGGCGCTTTTGCCGTTTTCGGTGGCCTTTCCACCATCCGTGGCACCGACGCCGTTCTTATTGTTACCGTTGAACACCACGTTTTCGTTAATAATTATGGTGTCATTGATTTTTATATCGGATGTCCGGCGACGCCGAAACGAACCGCTGAAGAAACCACGCTTTTTGGCCGTCGGCGTCGTGGCTACGATATTCCCGTCCATTTTGTTGCCGCCGTGTTCGACGAGCACCGGCGACAAACCGCCTTTCGTCATTTTCTCCGAGTAGAACGAAAAACAGAGAACGACGACTTTATCGATAATTCTCTTGGCGTCAAAGTAAACTGAGGCGGCGCGTTATTTCAATCCACTGCTACTTCTATAGTAATTATATGCCCACGATTCGAATAATTTACAATATCAACAAATCGCCATACCTAGCAAATTGGAACACACCGCGACCATCGCGTAAACAAATTAAAAACATAAATAAAAGTAATAATCAAGACCTGTCCAAAAGCTAAATTAACTGGACGCGTACAGCCAAACATTTTTCCCACGACGTTTACACAGATAAAAGGAAATGTATAGTTGTAAGTTAGTTGTTAGCACACATCTGAATGCTATTTGATAGTTATGTAATAAAATACATTCACATCACTCAAACGTGATTTAAATAATTCATATTCCGAAAATACGCTATAATATCCAATGTTGAGTAGGTAGGAATAATATTATGCATTTATGTATTATGGCCTAGGTAATTTTCCATTTAAAGTTATTAATAAATGATGTTATTTAACGACATATTGTAACACTAAAAGATTTTAACGGCGATCGCACCACATCAGGTAATAATAATTAATAATATGGTTCATTACATTTTATGTGGCAACATAAAACTGTGTAAATATTAACAGAAGAATATTGTCCCGCTAAGAAAAGAAAAAAATTATAAAAATAGAAAAGCATGGTAAAATATTTAATTTTGTAAACTAAATATTAAACACTGCATCTTTAATTAAAGTACCAAGTTTAAAATAAAATTCACAAAAAAATTGAAATTTAGAATTACAATTTATCATCATACTAAATTAAATTCATTGGTTTACCTATATACATAATATTTATTATAATTATTGAGTTTTTTCGTCTAGATAAATGTTGTTTAATATTTATATATCGAATAGAAAATGTTCTTGAACAGGTCAAAAATTATTATTTTGTCATTCTTTCACATACGCATAGACTAAAACACATACCGATTTTGAACCGAATCACGACGAATGCACAAGCGTGAACTAAACAACGCCCGACCGTGGTTACTCGACGATTGAAAGAAGAGCCTATTCCTATAGCAGCAGCGGCGATGTTTAGACGGGAGTGGGACCGCGTAGTTTAATAGCTTTGAATATACATAGTAGATAGGTGGTGGGAAGTAGGCAGGGAATAATATGCCGGCTCTACTGCAGCTGACGGGGGAATAACATTAGAATGAGTGTACGCTAAAAGTATTCACTTTTTGGTTTCTATAACGATATATGGCCCTATTACACAAATGTAATGGTCCCGTGCACAAACGTCAAATGTTTTAGCTGTAGTATTTTTGTAGTAAAAATCGCATCAATATTTTAATATAATGATTGCAGTAGGTATTTACTCATACTAGTCATACTCGTAGCTTTTATATTTTATTTTATTTTACAGGATAAATGTATGATTTAGCTTAAATAAATATAAGCTTATCAAAAAAAAAAAAACTTATGGAATATTCTCTTAATTGTAAAATCAGTTTGGTCCTTAAGAACCTCTGCACATTGAAAGGATTGCAAAATTACTAACCACATTATTAGCACTAAATATACAAACGAAAATATTTCTTCAAAGGGTCAAACCAGCTATATAAAACAAGGACGGAAAAAGTTATTTGATAGATTTGATTAGAAAGACCGAATCTCTAGATTTCCTGAATTAATTAATTTTATAAAAAGATGCGGACAGTGAACTAACACAATTCTTATCAAAAATAAACACTAATACTAATTTAATATTTACATGTATGCAATAAATAATAATAAAGATGATGTGTGAAAATCAATCTTAACTTTTAAAATACCTTGACATAACTCATAGTGAATGTATATACTGCAATACTCAATACAACTCAACTCTCAAGTATACAATGGTATTAATAACAGAGTTGTGGCTTATATTACCGTTATGTGTGCAGTAGATCGGAAACCATTTTAAGCGGTTTATTTCTTTAACCATACTCTGCAGTGAATAGAGAAATTTTCTTTACACAGTCAAATATGTAATACATTTTTTTATATTTGAGTACTTAATATTTCAATTAGAATTTAGTTAAGCAACCAACAATATTATTGAATTGTTATATATTGAATATATATTATATTCAATAACTAAGAACAGAAAAATCATCTGTATTTGAACAAATGTCAACTGGTTTATCTTACAACCAAAATACATAAAACGCGTTAAAACACTAAATACCAATAGGTACGTTGTATAATTAAGATATATAATGTGTGCACTCACAACAACTCATATATAATAGTATTCAGCCTATAGGCTATAATATAGTATACAGTACACCCTCGAGTATACCAAATACCACGGGGCACAAACAAAAATGAACATTTAAGAAATTCAAATAACAATATCATTACCAAAATCGTATGTTGTAAAAAATAATTTTTAGCTGTAAAGATAATAATTGTACAGTTTAGATTTGTTTTATCAGTTATCATAGCATACTAACATACAACTGCTTATTGTCTTATTGTTAAGTATTCACAAATAACCATACCTAATTTGCAAATAAAATAACTTCAATGAAATATTTAAAAAATATACATAATACATATAGGTACAAACATCCATACTACACTCGTATGCGAGTCGTGCGCGAATTGAAATTATTATCAATTACTTAAATTAACTAACAACATTAATTAATAGTACTAAATCCAAGTACCAATTTCGTTAAGTATATGTTTTAATGCTATTTTTTGTTTAATGATACATATTTAAGTTACTTACCTACAGGTAAGTTTGACAAATTATACGATTTTTATCAGATATTTTAAGTACCTGTCTCCTTTTGTAATAAATAAAATCTAATACAAAAAATATAGCTATATAACTCGTTAATGTCGAATTGTTTAATACATATGTAGGTTAATTTTTTAATAAATTCGTAATGCACTACTGTGCAATAACAAATGTATTATTCACCAGACTTCATCGACAAACGCGTTCAGAAAATTGTTACCTATAAATAAATCTGCGCCCCAACCCATTATCTATTTTGTTTTGTACCTCAAGATAAATAACTAATTAATATAGATGAAGGTGGCTATAATATTTATAATACATATATTACATTAAACGGACTCCCCTCTTAAGAAATTGGTATAAGGACGGCGCACAGTTAGGTGAGTTAAACAGGTGATTGAAAGATAAATAAAACAATAAATTAAAATAATTTATAATATATATTAAGGATATATGAATGGGTAATAGTAAATTTCAAACTTAACTGCATTAGACAATTATAATCTGGGCATGACATGTAACAAATATAATTTTTTTTTTAAACCGAATAAATATTAAATACTAATTTATTTATTTTTTATACATACCAAAATCAGAAAGAAATATTATGTTTTATGAGTATAATATAATAAGTAAATAACGTCACTGTGACAATTATTTTTCGAGTAAATGTTCTTTGTATTAATATGATTGATGACAAAAATTATATAAGTAGGTATTTTATATTCAAAGAGTCCATTTAAATAGTGGCCTTCAAACTAAATAGCCAAAAGCAAATTACTTATTATTATAATATAATACATAATATAATTACTTATGTTTGGAAAAAAATTATTTGTTACTTATTTCTTATTGTGTATGTTATAAAAACATTTAATTTATCTAAAAAGTTTTATTTAACATCACTTTATTAAACAGGTCGATTCACCAAAAAACAAGATCATCCCCATTATTTCTATAATGATTAATTTTGATTTTTGGAATTTCTTAGTCAACTGAAGGACAATAAAAAGGTCTATGATAATGAGGCTGGAATACTTAGGGAGATGATTTGAAAACTTAAGAGGATGACAGGGCGTCACACCCGCATGGCCGCATATGTTGTCTTCGACTTACTTACGTATATGAAAAACAAAATATACATTCCACGATTCAAATTGTATGTTATTGTATTATTTAATTATTGTCGTCATTCAATCTTAAAATTGGAGTGTATTGACTTATTACTGAGTCAAAATATGAAAAATCTACAGAAAAAAAATGGGGATTAAATTTTAAAAAAAATTTGTATTGTCTCAGAACTCCTTAAATGGTATAAAAAATCAAGTATTTGAAAATGTGGACTTAAGGTATTAAGTATACTGTATCCGTATTAAGTTCTAAATATTAAATTTTAAATCAATTAGTTTAAAAAAAAATTAGGGACGAAGCATGCTTGGTAAATTATCCCGTATACTGCATAATACTGTTTTTTATGAATGGTGGTATTAAATACTATAAGGACTGTGTATTAGGTAGTAAATTTGAGCATCAGCCATTTGAAAAATTAATTGTTGATACATTATGGCTTAATAAATAAATAATAGTTAACACACAGCCAATACAATTTCAGCCGAATCGATCAACAATTAACATCATTAGATCACCTTGGCATTAATCATGGAATAAAATAATACTACCTATCCACTTGTAAACGATAAAATATTACATACCAATAAATATTATTTTATCAATAAATAAGAAATTAAAACATTTATAAACACTTAAAAATCTTAAATTACATTCTCACAATAAATTCATATATGAACTATGATTATTGATTGCAAACTATATCATACGAATTGTATACATGTATGCCTATTGATTGATTAACACAAAGACTATATTTATAGTCTCATTTTTATAACAACTCTTGACTCGAGTGACGTATAATCAAATCAGTTGAATTTGTGTAACTAAAACAATTATTATGAATTATGATATAAAACTAAATAAATAAATATAGCATACTATCTACATACATAACTATATATGATTTGATAAGTACATCTTTAATTTTTGTATGAGTTACGATGTTAAGTACTTAATTTGTCTTTTTTATAACATTTATATGCCGACCACATTTTATTCATAAAAAATAGAAATGTATTTCCTAAAAATAGGTATGTAGGAACTAGGAAGCTTAACCAGAACAATGTATTTTTCACAATGCATTTCAAAAATTGGAATACTAAGGAAATATTTTGAATGGAAGTTCCATATCTCATAACTTAACAAATTCACTTTAAAGCAAAGATTTTATTAAAGCAGTAATAATAACAATTGATAGTAAAAATAATCATATTTTATTCGTATCATAGTGTGCAGTTTCATTTTCATATGGCATAATTTTTATTTGGGCAGCCTACTGCCGCCGTAGGTTTCTCTTATGCCCGGTTTGAGTAGATCTTTTCCTAGACAGTTGCCTACACAGAGAAATATGTCACTCCTCACTCGTGGTTTGTGGTTTTTTTTTTTAAAGCTACCAATATAAAACTATAACAGCTCAACAGTTACAAGGTGGTTTGGAGTTGAACATTATCAAGAGTCTTGTATTAAATTTTCATGATGTTTGACCCAACCAATAAAATTGTATGAAATAAACATTTGGTGTAAATTTCAAGTGTCTACAGTAATTCGTTTTCTAATTAAAACAAAATCTGAAAATCGTAACAAGAGAAATCGAGTGATTATCTATGTAGTAAAAATTAACTTCAAACCGCTTATAAAAATTAAATTTGACTTTCCGCCAGAAATTTTTTTTAGGTAAAGATTGACAAACTTGTAAGGAATCTTGTATAAAATTTTTAAATAGCAATAATTGTATGAATTTCAAACTAAATATAATTTGGTAATTTTCGTGGTTTTTACAAATTTTGTCAAAATACTAAGTTTAAACGCGCATAAAAAAATATTGTAGATTTATACTCATTTTTTTTTTAAATTGTCATTAACAACAACTTACAAGGAACCTTGTAATACATTTTGAAGTGTTTTGACCGAGCGAAAATTGCATATGTCTTTAAATAGTTCAACACAACTCAAAATATTTTGAAAATTCAATGGTGTATAAAAAATGCTTACACAAATATTCAGTGAAACCAGCATGTATATCTACGGTCGTTTTTGTTAGTTACACTAAAAACCTAAATCGATATTTTCGAAAAATGGTTTTGCGTACAAATTCCCGTTTTTCCTTAATTTATTGTTTGTTTTT